TTAGCAGGGGAGGCTACCGTTCACCACCGTAACACCGCCCGAGTTGCTCCAGTATCGACCATCAGTGAGTTGAGAAGGAAGAGGTCATCATGGATAACATGGCCGAAAGGATGAGGGGACGGAAAAGTTTAAGAGCTCATCACCGAAACTTTGGAGGTGCATCTTCGTGGACTGCAGAATCCAGCGACAAGCTGGTAAAATAGCAGAACTGTCACGAGCATCACTAGAGACCGTAAAATCCATCATCAGGGTTGTAAAGCGGAAAACGGAGAACTATAATAATGGCTGGATAGAGTAGGGGTCGAAACACAGCTGCAAATCCCACTCTATAGAGGATAAAATAGACATAGACAGAAAAAATTTAAAATAAACGGAGCCGCCTCAAATACCAGAAGTACCCATTTAAAAGTCCAAAATTTGTGTTTGGGAAGGAAACGGATAACAAGGACTTCACATCTTCCGAAGTTAACTGTTTACGTTATTTGGCTTTAAAAACTGCTAAGGTAGACGACAGCCTAATTTCGAGATAAAAAGCTTCGTTCTCGAGTTGTTAAGTGCATTCTTGGTGAAACATTTTACAACGGAATCTGAAGCAGTTTAGTCGTTTTAACCATACTCAGACAATGCTATAAGTACCATTGATAACTCCGTATAATTAATTCGTAAGCATATAGTTCACCTAAAAATCTCGCACTCTTCGGGAACCGGCGGTATTCCAAGCTCATTTATGAAGGGAGTTTCTCAGATTGCTTGGCTATATGTTCTCAGTCTATCTCTTAAACGGATTCTTTCCTGACTCACGGCAAACATCCATTATCCTTGTCTTCATGTCGGGATCTCGGTCAGGCATAAATAATTATTGTGGCGTTCATAAAACCTCGGCCCTAGCCAAACTTCTGGAAAAAATAACTTTTAATCAAATTCTGCACTTTTGTTTAGGAAATAAGCTTATTAGCGACTAGCAGCATGGTTTTCTAACAGGAAGATCATGCCAAACGTGCTGCTTAGCTTTTCTTTATCTGATAATTTTCCCTCGTAATGAGCGACAATCAGTGGTTGTGGTCTACTTTGACCTTAGCAAAGCCTTCGACAGGATACCGCACAGACCTCTTCTGGAAAAACTAGAAGCCGTCGGCATCCAGGCTCCTCTCCTCGACTTCATTGGTTCCTACTTGTCTAACAGTAGTCCGAATATCTTAGTAGGTAATACCTACTCCACGCTTCGGCCGATCACGAGTAGCGTTTTTCGAGGCACGGTCTTGGGTCCTCTACTCTTCATTCTATACTTACATGAAATTTAAACAGTGCTGAATATTTCACAACATCTCATTTACCAGACGACCTCAGGCGCGTTTACCCATTGTCTAAGGACACGGCCAATACTTGCGTTGATAAAATTAACGCGGAACTGCTTACTTTTTCGTGTTGGAGCTCAAGTTGGCAGATAGAGTTTTCTGCATCCAAGTGTAGTTTCATGAGTTTTGGCCAACCAGACTTCCTAAACACTTAGTCTCTTAAAACACCCCACTTTTATAACTATCCACAATAGAGAACTTAAGTCTCAGTTACACGAATTAACTAGCCCTGTCGCCTCGTGCGGATCAAATTTCTGCAAAGGTTGCACAGATATTTGATTTGATATCACGTAATTGCTTCTTTCCGGAAGTAAATTTAAACATTTACCGCACAATTGTTCTCCCCATCCTAGAATACTGCTGTCCCCCCTCTGGTCCGATGAATGCCTCTGACCATGCTATTGTTGAAAATGTTCAGATAATTTTCTCTCCGTCGATTCAGTGTTTCTTATACGGAGGGATGTCAGTTAGCGAACACGGAATTTCAATTTAATATATTAACTGCCAGTTAATGACCATCAAAAGAGATATACAGTACAGGATCGAGCTGACCGTGAAAAAAGCTCCTGAATAAATCTCTCTAGTTACCTCAGGAGACAACACTGCAGCTCGTTGAAGTTCGGGGAGGCGAAGGTTTGAAAAGCAGTGTTCTCAGTCTTTCCTCAGTGTTACGGATCCGTTACACGGCACCAGGTGACTGTGTGTCAGTAGACGGATGCTCGCTGTCGGCTGAAGAGTTAGCCGATTGCGGCCTGCAGATTCAGCGCTGTTGCCCTCAACATGAAGCTTGGCACAGGATTCAGAGTCCGCGAACGCCATCAGAGTGGAGAGCGATTCCACAGAGCCTGCACCTAAAATTCGTGAAGGTTGTTCTGAATGTAAAAAAACTAGTTATAGCTCTCTGATATAAGGAGTAGCTTAGTTGAGCTTTAATACGTCTGGGTATCTTATTCCGGATAAGTATGCCGTTTATTGAAGTAAATTGACGATATCTATCTATGTGTGCCAAAGGAAGAACTGAAAACACATCTCGATGATTTGTGTGCCGAGGGTGGTCGAGCTGCCTCAGAGTACTAAGGGGATTAAATGTACGAAAATTCAAAAGTTTTAACGGCAAAAAATAGTCCCTTCTGTAATCTGCGAAGCCGCAAGGGATTGAGGCTAGTAAATTCACAAAAAATTTAGTGGGACAGGTTGCGGTGTTCTGAATAGAAACCTCTTTTAGTCAAGAAATGTTGGACAAATTATATCTTCTTCCGTTCACTAGCACACAGAAGGCTCAATAGAAACGGGAAGTATTCCAGACTAGATCTTACGTACATATTATAAAGACGGATTCTAACCTTGATGGTGTTAACATTTTGGAGAATAAATCCAGTAGTTCGGCGTGCTTTCGACGCAATCAGGGCAGAATGATCTGACAGATTAAGACTATCAGAATATGATATGTCCAGATCCTTAATAACTCCCGGCACATTTAGGTCGTGACCGGCTATGCTTAGTGGGTGTGTTCATGTGTGCCAAGAAATGGAAAGACGCCACGCGTAGCACCATTGGGTAAAGGCCAGAAGATCCTTTTAATGAGCTCGAGTACGATATTGCGATTTACCGGTTTATGTCGATAGGCAACTTTTAAATCGTCAGCGTACATAAAGGGCCTACCATGCTGAAAAAAAATCGGGAACATCGCCGACAAAAAGGCAAAATAAGAGTGGACCAAGTATGCTGCCCTTAATAATTCCACTCCTCAAATGTGTTGGGTTGGAGATTATACTGGACATTTCAACTCTTTATGTGCGAGCATCCAAACAGGAAGATACTAAATGCAGAAGCTTGTTACCTACACCGAAAGGGGCAATTTTTAGGAGGAGGAGATCATGGTCAGCACGATCAAACGCCCTGGTTAAATCGAAATAAACTGTATAAACGGCAAAACCACTGTCTCTGGATTGTAGCACATGATCAAAGAAAGAGAGCTGGCAGGTATCGCAGGATCGTTTTTTCAAGGAAACCATGCTGAGCCGCATTAAGTAGGTTGTCCTCTGTAAGGTGACGCGTTATCTTGTCTTTGATTAAGGTCTTCAAGATCTTCGAGACTGCGGGAATTGTATTTATTGGCCTAAAGTC